CCAAAGTGTTCATCGCTTTTGAGCGGTTAGATTTTCATTCAAAGATCAATCACAGCGCAATTGGAGCTTCTTTCTGTAAAAGGTAAGCTATCTGTATGTGATGAGTCACTCTTTTCATTTTTCAATGGGCGCGACCAGCGTGACGAAGACAAATACTTAATAAAGAACACGGCTGGGTTTTATGGGCGTTGTTGTTTAAAGTACTTTTAGCCCCCTTAGATATCCTCTTGCGTTATCGCCAATTTGTGACGACACGAAGGAAAATGAAAAGCCCCGTGGAAGATATCTGACGAAGACAATGGAAATAACAAATGATGAAATTTAATTGTACCAAATTGAAAAAAACAACAACATCTAGACTGATGTTTGATACACGGACCGTTTCATTAATGGTTTCACTAAATTTGAAACGAATTGAAAAGCGTCTCTTTATCATCTAGAAGAAGACGGCGATGGATTATACCCGGTTTCAAATCTCACGGCGTCGTGAAATCCAGAAATCGCAAGGAGTTTAGCTGTATTTACACTCAGTGTACTGTATTTTTCCGTTATATGGTATTTGTCACTTATATTTCAACTCGTGTTTTGTCCTAACGTATGTTTTTCAAATTTTATTCTTGGTAATGGGAAAATTTGGCGAAATTTTATGTTGTTGCGTGAAGATACTTGGCTTTAAGACGCTCCTCAAGTTTTGAACAATTTTAGAGAGCACAAAGAGGTTTTCAATTAAAAAACATACTTCGCTTCCTAATAAAAAAATTCAGCACTGAATTCTTGATTATCATATGGCGGTCCTTTAACTTTGAACAATTCATTACCAGTAAGCAGGCTGTAACTTTTCTTTTTCGAGGCAAAACAGGAGAAAATATATTTGCTGCAATCTATGGGAAATAAAGTCGACATCCCAAAATTGTGCTCTAGCAATTTTGACTCAACATTATGGCAAATAACTCTTCGGCGCTAAGCCACTGATTGTGTTTAAAGAGCGCATTCTTTATTTATCACTGCTCGACAAAATATGTTTTTCGTCTTGTCACGAGCGTGGGACAAAGGAAAAGTCTGAGCTCCCATAAGAAATCGAACCTCAGATCTTCGGAACGCCCTCCGATGCTTTAATTCTTAGCTTCATGCATTCAATGGATTTACTTTCAGTTTTGTAGATGGCGTGACAAACAGAGCCACTCTTCTTGATATTAAATTAACCTCTATTGGAAGATTACATTCCGTTATCTTTGCTTTTACAAAATTGAATAAGAAAGGTTTCTTGCTTTAAATGGCAAGTTCAAGTTCATTCAATGAATTTTCATTTTCTAAAAGTCCCTGACTCGCATGACTCATGTGACAGCGTAAGGAACACCCAACTGAGTGGAACGAACAGCCGAGGTCTCTCTCTTAGATGAGACTTGTTCCGAGTGTGGGTTTCGGATCAAAGATTGTGAGGATTTACTCGTTAACAAAAAAATAGAATAGAAAAAAATTTTAAAAAAAAAGGTCTTTTTCGCTTACCAACTGTTTTCAATTCTGATCCAGGCTAAAGCAAAAGAGAGTACAATAGAGAACTTTGTATTGGTCTACTACCAAAGCTTTGGAAATTTCTTGGACCACTAACGTTCAACAAATTAAACTCCATTGAGGTCGGTTATTTACATGAGGTGTAACCTAAACCACGGTTTTATGCAATCAGTGACCTCAAGCTTTAATCTGCTAGGTTTTAGACCTCTCGACAATTTTTACGAACATAAGTGTTCAGATAAAAGGTCCAGCTAAATTAAAGACTGTTCATGACGCGGTTTCATTAAACAACGAATAAACTCTGTTTAAATTGTCGGCCCTAAAAGTTTCAAAACTGCAAATGATTCCTTTGTATATATGATAAATGAATGAAAAAAACGGAAACTTCTCTGTGTTTCTTTAAAGTAAACCTCTACAATCAGTCGATGCAATAGAAAGTTTTAACACTTAAAAACAAATAATTGAAAAAAACCAAAATTAATAAATAAACAGAGAAATTGGAGAAACAATTATAAAGGTCTGGCACTATGATAGAGTCTTTTAACATTTCAAATATAAAAGCGAGTCATGTTTTGTTGATCTAAAAGTAAACTACACAGTTTCTCGGATCTAGTTTTATCCAAATCTTCAACCAGCGAGTTAGCAAGTGTCAAAAGGCGTGAAACGTGCCGGCCTTACTTGTATCAGTTCAAATATGAAACGACATGGATGGAGGGCTTTTGTTTACAAAGAAAGTTAAAAATCCCTCTCCACTTCTAGTTCTTTGATTCTCACGACTTAGAGGAACTCTTTGTTTTTGTGCAGATGTTTAATTCTCAATAACTTTTGAGACTATTACCAACACAATGTATTTCCATCTCCATTTTTTGTCACGATTTTCGAAGGCAAACTTTGCACTTTGGTGCTTTGATAGCGCAACGAATATTAGAAACGCATTTACTTGATATCACACGCAGCCAGCTATTCCCCTTTCCACCACATCAATTCTTGTCCCCAGTCCTCTTCATAGCGCGGACAACAACCGCAAGCAGTATGGGTGCGCAAAGCGTGATTGGTAGGAAGAAAGGGAAAGCGGAAGAAGTCGTCTCCTCCTCTTCCTTTTTCCCATCACCCCATTCGTCCCTACTCTAGCGCCGTGTAAATTTTAGGGTCAAGTCAGGAGCTTAGAAAATGACGGCTGGAGTCCTGAGACGGACGGAAACGAGCCTTCAGGTAGACTGGCTAGAACTGGCCTCAAACACAATTTTTAAAACAGCTTTTCAACTATTGCATTTGCATCAGCAACAGAAAGAAATATTACAATTGTCAGCCGATTTGCTACACTAATAGGCATTGGAAATGCAAATGATCGCAAATTGAAAACGGAAATCTTTCCCGAAGGCAAATGACGCCTTTATAGAAATAAACAAGTGATTACATAAAAACTGACATTCT